CACTGTGTTTAGCTCGAGTGAATGGAAAACGATTAATAATGCTAAACACAGTGAGTTTTAATTACCAATCAATTGAAATTGTTATGTTTGATTGAAAGATAATCATTTATCATATATATTTTTTTCTTTAATTTGATTCAATATTGTTTAGGATTTAGAATGCAGATATAATTCCTATAATTTGAAACTAAATTAATTAAAATAAACAATTTTTCTAATAAAAATGATGAAGAATGATGGAGAATGATTATAATTGTTTAAAAAATTTTAGACATATACTATGATTAAAACAAATGATTCAATTGATGTATTATATTTAAATGAAAAGTAACAAGATGTTTTTATAAATGACAATACCAGAAATATTATCTAAATGTGTAGTGCTAAGGTGACCAAACGTCCTCCTTTTGTAAGTTTTGTCCTCCCTCAAAAAGTGTCCTCCTACACGTCCTCCTTTTTGATATTTGAAGACTAATCTGTAAATTTCCATATTCGATTGATGTCGAGCCAATCCATTGTGTGTGATGTGATGTGATGTGTTTGTATTTGACATGAGGATTCATCAAGGCTCAGTACAGTGCGGCACGACACAATTATGAGAAGCATGTGCTCTGCACTTGAGACCTTGAAAAAGAGAGCGCTGCACACAAGGGACTTTGTTTACTTCTTATCAAAATATGACATGGCACATACACATGCATTAGAGATTATTATAGTGTATCATTGTTGCAATGAATAAAATGTTTCTTTTATTTACAATATTTTTTCTTTCAATTTATTTGTGTCCTCCTTTTCATTGTAAAAAAGTTGGTCACCTTACTAGTGCTAATTATTTAATGGAAACTTAATCCACTTTGGATTAATTTGGATTCAATCTAGTAAAAACATTTTTCTTACATACATAAAAAATAATTTTACTATAAAAATGAATGTAACTGTGATATTTATCTGATATAGTTTAAAGGTTAAAAAAGAAAAAAATACTAAAAGATGTTCAAAATGGAAACCTAGTAAAACAGAAAAAGTTTTGTACTCTTCAGCTTTGGTTTATACAGATTTTACTATACTTGTCTATGGGTATTGCCGTAAACTTGTAAAGAATAAAGAACATTTAATGAAACATGTTTAAACTGAATTACACAAGAGCACAACATTGATAACAAACCATAATAAAACAAATGTTAAACTGAATAAAAAAATAGAAGTAACTGGATATATAATAACATAGAAAACAAAGGATTCTATACTCTGTTGTTTTAAATTTAGTTTGTTTTTTGTTAAAAAAATTTTATAAATTTAATATTTGTGTAATTTGTGAGATTATTGAAGAAAATCTAAAATATTTTTGTTTTGACCACTAAATATTTCAAAAATAATATGATATAGCTTAGAAACAAAAAAATAAATTATAATAAGTATGATTGTGATAAATCTACATTTAGAGGAGTCCATTTGCACTTTGGAAAGTTGAAACCTAAAGACCTAAAAACTGAATTAGAATCTGAAATATGTTAGATGATACATCAATGTTTCTTGCTAAGAAGAATCTCATAAAAAGAATTGACACTAAAGAATTTACTCAATAGATTTAAAAGAGAGCGGTCAAGAGAAGGAAAGTTGGAAAAGGCCAGAGAAGAATTAGATTTATCTCGAGGAAAAAGGAAAAAATAGAAAGAAAGATTAAACGTAGAAAATGGTAAAACAAAAAAATAAATAAAATTTACACTAGAAATATTTGTTCTTATATAACTTTTATGCTAAGTAATGAAGGTTTTCGTTCTTAAGACAACATGTACCCGCAAAAACTACACATCGCACATGAATGCTGTTTGTATGTGGTGGTAGCCCCAAGTCTCCATTCGTGCACTATGGTGGTTGCTTCTCGATAACTATAAGAGTGCAGGAGATATGGGGCTGAAAGTGGTTGAAAGTGGTTTTCTATTTCGAATGTTATGTTTGAATTTGTTTGAATTTAATTCAAACAATATTCAAATTAAATTTGAACATAAAATTCGAATATTGGTTCGATTATAGAATGATTGTAAACATTCCAGAAACGTTGAAAATAGTTCATTTGACTGGATGTAAAAATTCTCTAATTAGTCTGGAAACGGGGGACCTAATTCTTGCATTCTGTGAAAACGGGGGACCTAATTCTTGCATTCTGTGAAAACGGGGGACCTAATTCTTGCATTCTGTGAAAACGGGTAAGATTGGCTATAATGTAATTATCTTAATCTTCACTATCGTTTCTTTTTGCCCAACGAAGCGGGTCCTTGCAGCTAGATTCTAGATTACTTAGAAAAATAGTCTTTTATATATANACGTGTTTTGGAAATGTTGAGTGGAATTAGTCTAGAATCGGTTAATTTTATAGAAGAAAACCTTTCAAACAGCCTTAGTCCGTAAAGTTCCCACCTATCGGGCTGCGATTGGCTCATGTATTTAATCGTTCCTACAACGTAATTTTCGGTTAGCATGGAACGTATCTAAGTGTTATAGGGGGGTCTACTGTACATACAAATAAAGACTCAGCGAAGCGGGTCCTTGCAGCTAGTATATATATATTGTACATAAACTTAATTTTAAGTAACTTTCCTTTGTCTCTCTCATCTCATGGTAATTGAACATCCATGCAATAGTTCTGCTACAGGTTATTCTGCTTTCCACAATCAATACAGTGTTTTCTGAAACAGTTAACTTATATTGAATTTTAGATTATTAAAAAATATATCAAAACTACTAGCTTTAATTTTCAATTTTGACAGTAATTTAAATAGAAATTCCATTATAAGGAGAATTTTCCATATAGTTTTTGGAGTGTGCTACTCTTCAGACTCTCATATTTTCATTACATAAAATTTAATATTGATAAAATCAGTTTCACTAAACTAGAAATATATTATAATACTATTTTATATTTTTCCTAGTATAAATTACTGTGAAATAAATGTTAGAAAATTGTAACAGACAACAAAAATGATTAAATTAATATAATCATACAATTTTTAATTAATCTATGTTGAAGATGAGTATTTTTACAGTTAATTTTTATAAAAATTAATTTTTCAGTAAGATTTTATATATTATTTTCTTTGATTTATAGAACAGATGAAATGTCTTGTTTTATGATTCATATAAGTAAAAATATTTTTTAATAGCTGGAATTTCTTGGATAAAATCACATAAATACACCTTTCATACTTTTCCAGCAATAACTTAAATCACAGAACAAACATTTTCAGTCCAATGTACAGGCCTGCTTCAGATTAGAAGTCATTCCAAAAATGAGAGAGTTATGTTGAGTTCTAAAGTCGAACAATTTGAATATTCTATGGTGTTATTTATTAAATGTACAAAAATTAAGAACTGTAGATGCCATCAACATCTATAATGTGGCATCAAAGGACTTTGCAATAACAATAGAAAAAAACCTTAACATATCACAAGTTTGACAAACTTTACTCTCTAACCATATTTCTAACAGACAATAAGATATAAATCATCCAATTCCTTGTGGTTGAGATTTATATTTTATATGAATTTATATACATATTTATTATAATTTAATTTATATAATTATCCAATGTAATTTTTAAATTTTATTTAAATGTGTAAATACCAAATTGCAACATATGAATTTTAAACAATGCCATAGAATATTCAAATTATTTCACTTCAGAACTCAACATAACTCTTTCATTTTTGAATGACTTTTAACCTGAAACAGGCCTGTAAATTGAACTGAAAATATTTGTTCTGTGATTAGTTATTGCTGGAAAAATATGAAAAGTGTGTTTTGTAATTTTTATTTTATAACTTATAAATATAAACAAATATATATGACTTTTATAGACTAATGGTGCACAAACTATTTTCATTTCCAACCCTCCCATTTTGTGTAAAATTTTGTTGCAACCCCTGGATAGACAGTAGATGTTTGCTCTGCTGTGACTATACTGTTGCATTGAAAGCTAAATATGCATATGTAAACATATGTTTCTGTTGCAGTATCACTATCGGTATCACTATGTCTGTTTGCCTACTAGTTGCTGAAATATAGGTATTAGGTACTATACTAATACAGACAATTGTTTTTGTAAAAAAATATAGTTTTTATAGATAGTTGTTTATAGTTTTTATAAATAATATAATTTTATCTTATTATTTTATTGGTACCTGATACTTGTTGAAGAAAAGCCTTATATTTTTTATTGTTAAATAAATTTCTTTGAATTTGGCGACCCCTAGAGGGATCTTGACCCATGGGTTATGCACCACTATTATAGACTATACATACATACAGCTAAAATTATTATATTTCTAATCAACAGTACCTTTCACACATTTCCAGCAGCCATTTCTTGGAAATGTGCGAGAGATGCTGTTGATTAGTAACATAACTTTTACTTATCTGTAATGAAACTATTACTTAAAATTATGAATTAAATTTTAATTTTATTTCCAGATATACATTTTTATTTTAAAAAAAAAACAAATATTCACTTATAGAAATTTATCATTGTCGCTGGATTAAATGTTTCTTTCGAGTTGCTCAACTTTGTCTTTAAATCCAAATACAGAATTAGAATAATGATAAAGTTTAAAAAAAATACAAAATTAAAAAAAAATCAAAGCATGTTTTGTAGAATTTTTGAATAATTAAGGACAGATTTTCAAGTTAAGAACAAGTCTTTCATCTTTTACATCATCCACCACTTTCCTTGATTGTTGTCCCAACCACCTCTTTCCTGTCTTACACTATCATTCTTCTTACATCCTTTTATGCCTGAAGACAGTCCATTAACCTGATGTAAATCACTTGCATTTCCCCAAACTGTTACCCACTGTTATAGGTGTATTAATTAAATTATAAATGAATATTTGTTTTTTTTTCTAATTAATTCACCAAGTTAAATATTTATAAATAAATTTTAATATTTATTAACTTATACTTTGTTGTTGTTGTTTTTATTTTGATTTATTGCTGTTTTTATTAGATGATTTATATTGCAATATATCACCTTCTACAGAATATGATTATCATCGTGCCATGGCACATCATGCTAATGTTACTTCTTCTTCAAGTAACTCTTCATTACAATCGCCAATGGGACAACTACAAATGATGCCAGCTGGATTAAATCTCTCAGTAAATTCTAATCAAGGAATGCAGGCAATAATATCTAACACTGTTAACAATAATGTTGGTCATAACATGATGCGTTGTAGTAATATGTATGATGGCAATATCGGATGTAAAGGTATATATGGAGGAGGAAATAAATCGAAAGCAAAGAAACCAAAAGTCAATAAAGATGGAATTCCAGCACCTAAAAGAGCAATAACAGCATACATTAATTTTACTCAATGGTATCGTGAAGAAATTAAGAAGACTGGGAGATCAATTCCAAAGGTAAGAATAGAATTTTGATATATACATGTATTTAACAAAATCTTACAATAACAAGTAAATATAATTTCTTTACTAAACTAAACACAGATTACTGTTGGATTTGGATAATAAATAACTTTTTTGAATGTTTCAAAAAATTTATTATTGAAATGTATGAGGAAATGAAGTTTTATAGTATAAATATTTGTGGGATCTGCGAATATCTGTAGGATGATATTCGAAGGAATGAATAAAAAAGATTACCACGAAAGGAGGAGACGAGTACAATACAGAATCAAACAAAATTTATATATCAAAAATATAGTCCAGATTACAACACAGGAAGTTGGTGTAGGCCTGGCACGTGGCGGTCAACACAAAGAGTCCACACAATACACTCGTAGGACGCACCTTCCACTCGAACACCAAGAACCAGAATGCCGAATTTCTGTTTTCCCACCATATATATACCACCTTCACCTACACTGTGCTGCCACACAAAAACCGCCCAAAAACAAACAAAAAAAAATTTTTTTTTTTTTTTTTTACAATACAATAACCACATTGGCAGTATACAAAAACTATACATACATACATACATACATACATACATACATACATACATACATACACAAAAAGGAAATAAATCCGAAGCGAAAGAAAACAAAAAAAAAATTTTTTTTTACACGACGAAGACGATAACACCGACTAACAATATATACCAGGATGACACATATTACTCATGACCAGTTCAGCTAGAATAGGAGATAATGGGGAGCCCATTGGTGCCCCTTGTGTTTGTTTATATATTTTTCCATTAAATTAGAAATAATTATTTTGAGTAATAAGGCAAAGAGCTTCACGTAGGTGTAAAACGTGTGAGGCTGGGTAACTAGAATTGAGGAATAGGATATTTGTCAGCATGATGGCCTCGAAATACAGAACAGAAGGATATAAAGAAATAACATCTATTTTGTAAAATCGGTAGGAACTAGAGTGGAGATTTCCTAATTTTTGTAAGATGGTACATTTGGCTTTGGTGGAGGCTGTTGTTACAAGCTCAGAATGTGGGATTAAGGATGTGATATGTTTTGCTAGCACAGCTTCAAGATGATACGTGGGATGGGAACGTTTGTTGACCAATGGTCTTAACGGCCATTATGGTTTATGGGGTTTGGCCTCAAAAAATAATCTGGGGCATGCAACGTTCGATGGAGAATTGAGAGGACCAGATAAAGATTCTACAATTCCTGGTAATGCAATAACTTTGCACACTTTACTTAACACAGTGGAAATAGGATCTTGTTTTAGTACTATTGATCTGGAATGTTTGAGGAACTCATTAGCTCTATTGAGGAAATCTTTGTTTCTGCATAGAACAAAACATTTGTCTTTGTCAGCTACTAACAATTTTAAGTTATTCGATTCAAGAAAAGATTTTACCATTTTTGGAGTTCTCATATTTGCCCTTATGGTTTTAGGGGAATGCATCGGTGCTATAGCAGTCAACGTAGAAAGATCTAATTTAGGTTGCAAATCTGGACTTTTTGTGCTCTTTATGGCCGCAATAATAGGAGTTACAGTTGTGAATAATTTTGGTTAGGAATAGTATAAACTTTGGCCCCTTTATTAGGGTTTGGTGGATATTCTCTGGTACCATATTGTCAGTAAAATTGTGATAAGGAACTTCCATGGTTTGTTGTCTTATGTGAGTAGTTGAGTGTAACCACTGGAACTTTTTGTTGAGTTTCTTCCTAATTTGGCAAGCTTTTTTGTTGGCTATATTCCTAATTTTATCCAATTGTTGGTATAGAATATTTGCATCACACAGTTTTCCAAAACATATATGGGCCAGGTACAATTGCTTTTCTTTATCTACTGTTGCTTTACGTTTGCTTTTTATTAATCTTGCTAGAAGTTTACATTCAATTTGAGGTAATATGGTGCGTACTTCTTTTGGGAAGGAATCATATTTGATCGCTATGCACTTTGGAATAAGGTTGGTTTTCTGACATTTTAGTAAAAACCATAATTGTGCTTGAAGCTTTAACCATGTAATTCTTGTCTTTAGTAAAGAAAAGAAGTGCTTTCTATTATTTTCCATGATATAATAAGTTTGCACTTCATGCCGACATATACTATTACAGTATTAGAACACTTACGTGCAGTGGTGTTACAGGAGTGGAGTTCCGGTTACGGAAATTTATCCGACTTTTGGAGAACAGTTTTATCCGCTAGCACTTTCAGTAGTGTAAAACCACCATCATCAGGCGGTACATAGAATTCAATAGTTTAAGCTTTCCGAACGATATTTCCAACGGTTCAGCTGATTATGGTTTTCGAACATTATTTAAAGGTTCTTACATCATATCGCATAGAAATGATGATAGATAAATATTAAAATGAGAAATGTCTGTAAAAGAAATATTTACATAAATAATTACAATTCTATGCTGTTTATTTTGTAATAAATATTACAAAGTAAACAGCATAGAATTGTAGTTATATGATACAATAATTATATTTGATTCTGATGAAACTGTGTTGTAGTTTACTTTGCTTTATACAGACACACTATGGTGTATTTTTTCAAAACACTTGGCAAATCATTCATCTCTTAATAAAGAGATGAATGATTTGCCAAGTGTTTTGAAAAACACCGCAGTGTGTCTGTATAAAGCAAGATATTTTAATAAATTTGCATTATTAATTGTGATTGTCCAGTAACTGTTCTGAGCAATTACTGGAAATTTAAGAAATATTCAAAAATATTAATATGTTACATTGATAAGCTGAATTAAACTTGAAAAACATTTAATATGTTTAAATAAAAAGACAGCAACTCATCAAACTTTTGTTTTGATTAAAGTGAGATGATTGCCAAATTATCAGGTCAGGTTATGATTAGGATAAGTTAATAACTAGATACAAATTAATTTCTCTAGAGGTAGTTGGTTAAGCTGACATCTCATGATAATTATAATAATTTAATTTATAATTTAGAATTTCTAGAAAAAGAATCATCCTGGAATGGAAATAAGACCCACAACTTGTACTTACTGTACCAATGTGTTGCCAGTTACACTATCCAGACCTCTTTCAGATTTTCACTTCCAAAACTATTAATTTAGATATAACCATATAGATCACTTATAGTACAAACTAGAGACAGCTTTAAGAGCCCAAGGTCCTTCTCTTTGGCATTCAGCCAGTTATTGCTGTACCCAAGCATGATGTATATATGAGCTGTTGATTTTGAAAGTGGGTATAGTGATATGGGACTTACTAGTCCCCACAAGTGCAATTTATGTTATATATATAAATACTAGCTGTTACCTGTGACTTCACCCGTGCAGATTTTGCAAGCAAACCCCATTTATATTCAGTATTTCAACAACCATAGTAATTGTTATATAACACCTACTGCTGAGAATGGTGAGAATTTCTGCGAATCAAATGAACTGTTTTCAATTTGATCAATTTTCTGGAACGTTTACAATCATTCTATAATCGAACCAATATGCAATAACAAATTCAAATTTAAAACGGTTCAAACATTTGGTTAAAAAATCAAAATATATGAAAATATTTATAACAATGTCTGAAATGTTATAAATTTTATACACCTAAGTATTCAGTGAAGACTAAATGTAGTTGAAAACAAAAAATTGCATCTAAAATAGTACAGTAGAAGCTGTTCTTCAGGTTAAGCCTTAGTCCTCTCCCTCTCCTCCCCACAGGAGTAATTTCCAAAAATCCCTTCTTAGTGTGTATTCTCATGGTGTACCCTACTAAAACATAGTTGAAAACAAAAAATTGCATCTAAAATAGTACAGTACATTCTTCAGGTTAAGCCTTAATCCTCTCCTCCTGCGGGGGAATTTCCAAAAATCCCTTCTTAGTGTGCATTTTCATGACGTACACTAACTGTTATCAAATTTCACCTTTTTAGGTTCAGCAGTTTGCTCTGGGCGATGATGAATCTGTCAATCACTCAGTCAGTCAGGACAAGTAATTTTATATATTTAGATGTATGCTACTCTATGGTATATACTTTGTCGAATTTATATATATATGTTATTTTATTTATTATTCTAAGAATGCTAAAGTTTAAAAAAAAAATTTAAAAAGAATGTTAAAAGAAAAAGTTTTAAAAAAATTTGAAAATTGAAAAGTGAATGTTCTAAATTTGGAACACAGAAACAGAATGGGATTCGAAGGTTGTAAGGGTTAAGAAAAGGTTCGTTATTGTTTAGAGAATTAAAGAAATGTTTCAAATCCTTCTTGTTCGAAGGTTTTTCTTTTAGAAAAGGACCTGTGGTGATAGAAGATCACCTACAATGGGACAAGTCCATTTTATGAAAAAAATAGTTAAAGCTAATTTTTATTACAAATTAACATAAAATTTTGTTTTTTATCAAGTCACAATAAATATCTTTTAATATCAGTATAAATTTGTTACTACTGTAGTAATCTGTACCGTCAATGAAATTTATTGTGTGTTGATTTTGAAAATGAGGCAAGTCCACTCTAAAGAAAAATATAAAGATATGATGAATTTATTACCTTATGTACTACCCATTCATCATGAATACTTTAAAAATCTGCACCATCTAAACTAAGAAATATAATTATATGCATGCAACTTATTACTAAATATATTTTCTTATTTTATCCATTTTTTCCTATAAAATTAAATTTATTTTTTGTTTTATTGTAGCTTTTTGAAAAAAGTATGAAATGTTGAAATGAAATAAGTAAATAAATAAAATATTCAATTTTGTTTTATAATTACATTCCATTCAAAGAAAATCAATGTTTTCAACAAAACATTGCTTTTGAAAGTTAGGCAAGTGCATTGGCACATACCAAAACCATGATTTTTTTCACCTAACACGGATAACCATTATTGTCATATTAAATTTACATGAAATAAGACCAAAAAAATATAAAATAAGTCTATTATTGTTTACGAATATTTTTAAACCCATTCAAATGCAAACCATTAAATATCTAGCAATAACATAACATAGACTTGCCCCACTTTCAAAATAACAGCTCATGTGTGTGTGTATATTTCAACAAACCTAATTTTTGAGTGATCTGTATGATTATATTTAAATAATAGTTCAGTCCCACTATCTCAGACAGAGGTCCAGATAGTTGGACTGGCAACATATCTGCATGGTAAGTGGAAGTTGTAGATTCATGTCCTGCTCCAAGCTGATTCTTTTCTTCCATAAGTTAAAAATAAAATTATCAAGAGATGGTGATTTAATCATATACTTCTAAACAAATTACTTTGTATCTAATTGTTAACTTAACTTAATAATAGCCCACATAGATAATTTAGCAGATTATCTGGCTTTAAATAAAAATATCTCTATTAATATGCTTTCTTACCACACCGGGTTGTATAACTTCACAACCAACAACTGTCTACCCTTAACCATTAACCGGTGCAAAATTCTTTAAAATCGGAATTTTTTCGAAAAATAGCACGTTACGTTTTTTCAAAAACATTCGAATTAAAGAATCCGGTTATAACGAAAGATATAAAGAAGTAAGCCTGAAGAAGATCCCAGGAGGAGAATCGAAAACGTTCGCCGATTTTAAAGAATTTCGCACCGGTTAATGGTTAAGGGTAGACAGTTGTTGGTTGTGAAAATATCTCTATATAATCAATTAGTGATTTTATATGAGTTTCCTGATCTCCCAACTTAAAATTGTTATCTGCTGCCTTCTGATGTTTGAATATAATTAAGTAGTAATATATTTATCAGAGCTTTGTCATTTCACTTCTGTCTTAGCCTACTAGTAGTATTAACATAGTAGTTCTAGAGGAGCCAGATAGTCTTGTATCAGTTGTGAATATAGAAGTATAGTTTATACTTGTACATTTAACTGTATTGTTAGTTATTAATAGAATATAAAATAGTTTTGTTAAACAATACAGTTTCTTGACTATAGTTATCTTGGTCCATTATAGAATTGTTGTTATGACCACAGGAAAATATTGTAACATTAGGTGAATTAATTATTGATTTCTTTTAGTATCTTTTATTGTTTAAAAAAATGGAATAATAGTAAGAAGAATTGTTTCAATATGGCTGCATGCTGTATAGTACCATAGGGATTTTTATTCCTTTAATGAGGATTTTTGACAGAAAAATCACAAAAATAAATATATTAAACTTGATTTTGACCTACTCTACAATATATATATTTTTTATGTACAGTAGAACCTCCATTATCCGGATTTTCAATTATCCAGATTGTTCAAAATAAACAAAAATTTTACGAATTTGCTGATTTGCACTTGGCGAATTACGAAACTGTTTATGTACATGATGGAATGCATAACTTTGTTTGTTTCAACAACGTCTCACCCAGCACAGTGGTTGTAAACTCTTAAATATATTTTACTTAGTAATAAAAATGTAACTTGACATACGTATTTATAAATAATTTATATTCAAATTACATCATTTCTATGACCAAGGGCAGCGTAAGGCATGGACGACGTGGGCCACCGCCTATGCCACGCAGTCCGAAGGGCCTCGCGCCTCGTAGGTTTATGCATTACTTAAAAGCCGCGAACGCGACAAAAAAATTTTACTCGTCATAAAACGATAAATAGTTTGTCATATTTTTATTCATAAAAATGCAGTTTCAACTAGTTTTTATTTTATAAATTCCATCTTCTTGCGCCACCAGAGGGCCTTTTAAACAATAGGTAGTCTGTTAGCGTTGGTCGGTAGTAGTCCAAATTCAATATGAACGTTTGTTTCTTGAAAATTTGATCACGATTTAGACACAGTATTTACTTTTAATATTACCGATATGTCATCGAAAAGAAAATATGTTGTATTATCATTAAAAGACAAATTAGTTTCAATTATCCAAATTTTTCCTTATCCGGACTACCTTCATCTCCAATTAGTCTGGATAATCGAGGTTCTACTGTATATACAAAAACTATGCATTAAAATGGCTGACGGCCACATTACATTAAATACATTTAAATTTGTCTATTTATAAGATATTAAGAAATGGTAAGTATGCCATTAATGCCTACAATGCACCAGGGGTGTATAGTATACCTGTGAGGGATAACAGATTTCATAGAGATCTGGTGTACATTAGTTCAACTAATAGATCTCTTAAAAAATGGTGGAACAGCATAAGTATGATATACAAAACAAAAAGCAGACCACTGCCCTAGCAATATATGCTTCTGACACTGACATAGAAGCTAAATTACAGCTAGCCAGTCTTATTAGATGCACCCTTTGCACTGATCAAATCAAAATTTTAGAAGCTCCAGAAATTTTTAAAGCTAAACTAAAGGAGAGTGTATCAATTTTAAGAAGGGGCAAACATATTGCATGCTTGGCAGTCTTTTTTTGACAATCCAGACAATATTTATAAAAAATAAGAAATCAATTATTTCACTTAAGATTTATGAAAAAAAATGTGTATATTAACTTTTATTTTAAATTTAAAGTTAATGTTAACACTTAGGTGTGAATTATGTTGCATAATTGTTCTAATGTTTATACTTCTGATGATTTTAAAATATTTAAATTTGAATGTTTAGCATTCTAATTATATCGAATGTTTTTTGACCTGACACAGATTCCAAGGGGATCGAAAACATTTGTCATAACATATTTAAATTAAATTATATTTGCTGGTATACTTTGAAGGATTTAGTGGTGTTATTTCATAATTGTTTTTTTTCTTTCCATATATATTTCTCAATGTTAATTAATTAATTAAAATAAAAACAGCATTAAGTTATGAATAAAATGTGAGGGATGCAACAACAAGTGGGCCCACCAACAGCGAAAGGGGAAACTTGGAGAGACACGTGGTGGATACGACCCAATCAGGGTGTGTACCTGGGGTGAGAGATTTATCGGAGGGTGTGGGAGTTAGGGACGGAAGTGAAGGAGGAGAGGGTAAAAACGAGAAAGGGAACGCAGTTGAACCGTTCTTCGCCCGCGCTTGACATCGTTGACCGTTAACTGTGTAACCAGCCGTACGAATAATAAAGTGTCTCATCCGTATTCTCATCCGTAGTCTCATCCTTTCGGGTTATTGCGCATAGACACGACATAAAATTACATGAACAGTTAACTCAAGTTTTAAATGCAAATTTTATGTATTATAAAATTTAATTATTGAATAGATTGGAGAATTTGGGAAAGAATGTGCAAATAAATGGAATTCTATGAAAGATGAAGATAAACAACCATTTCTTGATGTAGCAGCAAAAGACAGAGAGCGTTACAGAAAAGAGGTAATATTTCAAAATTTTATGTTAATTAATATATTTATTGAATAATTTTTAAGTCATTTAATAGTAATAATATAAAAGCTGTCATCTGTGTGTGTGTGTGAATTCCTTATAACTTCTGCAATTTTTGTCCAATCCAGATGAGATTTTGGCTATATTCATTTTATGATCTTGTAGTGTTCGTAAAAGTGGTACAGAATGGTCCACAAACGAAAAGTACAGAAAGGACAATTACAGTCGACCCCCCTATAATTATGGTCCCTATAATTACGACTCCTATAAAACTACGAAAAAATTGTGATCGGTAACCGTAAAAAACAGTAAAAATTCCCTATAATTACCTCAAACTTCATCGGGCAGCCGAACTACTTTCCCGCCATCCGTAGCGCCACGCTACAGAGAGATTTCTATCGTCTGGACAATATTATATAAATTATATATAAATTAGGTACTGTATATATAATTATATATTAACTTATTGTAACTTTGTTATAATTAAATATATAATTTCCGCCGTCTAGCGTGGCGCCACGCTACGGAGATTTTTACGCTAACTATCGTCTGTCAGTATGTAAATTAGGTACCGTAAGTCTAATACAGTACTGTAATTTTATACATTTCTTGTGAAAGAAACATTTCTTATTCAACGGCGATTAAAATTATTTATATTAATGATGTCTCCGAAGTTCAAGGAACTATTCGCAGAAAAATAAGTTATTAGAAATCGGCCGCGGTTTGCTGAGCTGTTCCGCTACGAAAACAATGTTCAGCAATGGCGATGTCGAATGGTGACACTCGGTAAGTAATCCTACAATTTTTTATTTATAGCGTACTTTATACGGATTATTTCCAAAAAAAATATACGTATTTTGGAAATGTTGAGTCGGATTAGTCTAGAATTGATTAATTTTATGGAAGAAAACCTTTCAATCAGCCGTAGTCCGTAAACTTGACACGTGTCGGGCTGTGATTGGAACGACTCGTAAGAAATCGGATTCCTAAAGAATGGAACGTATCTCTATCTTATAGGGGGGTCGACTGTATAACAATATTCACGGTCCCTTTATTTCACTTTGAACAAAAAGGTTATGTAAGGAATCCCAACTGATTTGGTGATAATTTGCAATCCAGCGTGATTTACATGAAGAAGTCTTTGTTTCAAACAAAGCACGATAGCATATCTTTCCTGATCGCGTGGCAATTAATTTCTAGTAAGCGCGTAACTAAACCTAACTTAATTCTAACTTAAATCTAACTTAATTATAAGGAAATAATGAGGAAGATAAAATAGTGGAAAGGAATAAGAAATGAGGAGATGATTCACCCGGGGTTTCTATATATCAGGTTGATATGCACTTTGGGTAGGACCTGGGTTCTATTATGGTGACTTCTGTCTTCAGGATCCATTTTTCTCTATCACTTATTGAGGTTCTCTCTTACTTCAAACTATCTATCTTGGTCCCTCACTGGATTATCTCGAACTTCTGTCCTCTTTACAAAACTTCGTTCGGAGCTCCTTGTGACATGTCCGACTCCCTCCAGGTCTAGATGAAAAGTGTCTTATCTCTCAGCTGCTATTCCCCAGGCCACACTCTTTCTATTATCTTCCCTGATTCTTAGAACAGCTAATCCTACCCAAAGGCAATAATGGTCGTTGGAAAGTTTAGGAAAAGAGAGAACAAAGAAACAAAGAAAAGGCTAAGACTAACTAAAATTAATAAATACAAATATACAATATTATGGCCTAAGGCCACAATCTGACAGAAAGTATAGGCTACTTATTTTGAGGAAATATTAGCTGTAGAATAAACATTTTATTGATTTCAGATTGGTGATTGCACTTATTGCAGTATTGCAGTGATGTCAGGACTTTCTTTCTGAACTTAGTGCATGTGCTATGTTAATCCGCATTCTTTGTTTTTAACAAGACATGTACAAAAGAGGAGTGTTCCTGTAGGAAGCCTGCTATCAGGAGATTTATGTGAATTAGTTTGTGGGTTCCCAGACGAGGTTCAAACTCAAGTAAACCATGAGATTCTTGCGCAACACAAGATGTAAACAACGAGACTCGGAACTGTTTGAGTATGTGTCAAACTATCTGTCAAGGTTTTAGCGGAAGACAAACTCTAACACGAGCGCTCATAAATAGGTAGATCATTGACTTGCAAGTCTATAAAATGTTGGCTGAGAGAAAACTTTTCAAACAAAAAAGAGGGGAATTTTTGATAGATGAAAGATGAAAATGATCGTTAAATTCTTAGACGTCAAAAAATGGTATAAACAATGGCCTGAATTATGAGTGCAGGTGTTACTGTTTTATAAACAGTCACCGAGCAGAGTCGACAAAGAGGTATCAGATGGACACCTTGAATCGGACCTTTCCCACGATCTGAAAAAGTTTCGTCTTGCACCTGGAGACAAAGGAGAGACCAATCAGGAAGAAAGGAATGGGATGAGGGACCAATCCAAAATGCGAATAGTGGGGAAAAAACTATAAAAATCAGAACTTCAAGGTCGAAGAGGAGTCTCCTCTGGATTAAGCCTACAGTTGTGCTTTATCTATTGTGTTGTACTACCACCAATTACCTAGGACGCCGCAGCTTAACATTGAACATCTGCATCGTCCACCCGGGCTACGACCGATCACTCGAACGCTCAACATTTCATAGGAACACCGATATTTTGGAATTGTCCAATATCAATGTAAGCATGAATTCGAACAAATAAATGGGTTTTCTCTTGTAAAACACTTGTTCTTCATTTGCCTCCTTTGCCACAACCCACATACGCGGTTTCCCTTAGGCTCATTCTGATGCAGGATAAACTGTACTCCCCTTATAGTCGGCAACCTGGAATCCAAACTTTAGTCAAATTCTTGCATAATATACAAGGTCTGTTCAAAAAGTATCGGACCTTTGGTCGGCAAAAATAAATTTATTAACTTTGAGGAACAAAACCCTAATTCCCTTCAAAGTAGTCTCCTTGGTAATGTATACACTTCTCCCAGCGTTCCTGCCATTGGTGGAAACACTGCTAGAACGCATCTTTTGGAATGGCCATCAGCCGGTCCATCGGATTCCGCACGATGTCTTCTCTCGACTAAATCCGGGTTCCTGTTAGCGGCATTTTCAGCTTGGGAAATAGCCAAAGGTCACACGGAGCCATGTGGGGAGAGTACGGAGCGTGACAAACCACAGGAGTATTGTGTTTGGCGATGAAAGCCCGAATCAGATGCACAGAATGGGCGGATGCGTTATCACGATGGAGCTGCCAAGTTTTGATCGACCACAGATCCGGTCGTTTGCGTCGCACTGTATCGGAAAGACAACGAAGGACCTCCTGGTAGTACTCCTTTGCAATGGTTTGGTGGTACTCACTTGTGGTGCATACTCACGACACACCACCCCACGAGAGTCGAAAAAACCGTCAACATGACCTTTGATATTGCTGCGGACCTGCCGCGCTTTTTTTGGCCTCGAGGATCGTCCCCGAAAGCCTGCTGAATCTTGCGAATGGTTTACACTCGGGTATCGCCAAGGTTTTTGGCAAAATTTGATGTAATATCGCTGCTCACGTTGTTCAGTCATTTTCCAGCTTAGTGGAATCCGACGAGAGCGCACTACATGACCTCACTCATAGGCCGATTGCCAACGACTGACGCTTCCTGCAGGCGGGAAAAAATTCAGGGCTGTGCATGACTGTCCCCTCCACAACTCCACTGAAGGAGGCCTCTCGTGCATCATTGGTTTACACGGAAAAAAAAAGGTCCGATACTTTTTGAACAGACCTCGTACTATACTACTTTATATGCACTATGTGGATGACATTTTAATAATTTGAAAGGAGAAAATACTGAAATCACCAAAGATGACATATGGGCTTTTAATCATAACCAATACGGTTTAATGCTAAAGTTAGACCAATATAGCAATAAACAAATGCATTTTTTAAAATCTTTAACTTGGAATTAATTTTAATACATTAATTTAAATTTTTGTAGTATTTCATTACTAGTGTTACTAATGTTGAAATTACAAAAATGAATATTGAATTTTATTATTTTTAATTTTTATTTAGATGGCAATTTTTAAACCTGCAAAAGACACAAATAAACCAAAACGTCCAGGAACAGCATTTATGCTGTTTATGGCAGACTTTAGAAAAGAAATGGCTGGTAAAGAACCAGAAGGAGGTGTTGCAGCTTTGGCTAAACTTGGTATGTAAGAAGCTTTAAAAAGTGATTTTTAATAATTGTTGTAGATAGTATTTATGTGCATGTGTTGAGATATAAATTTTATTGCATTAAATGTAATGATAGAATTTAGAAAAAATAATTTTATTTACAGTTGGTTACACATCCTAAACAATANCATCAATTATCCGAAAGTCAATTATCCAAAACGTCAATTATCCGAAAGAATTCCAGTGGGCAAATTTAAATTTTCGCTAGTGCTGTGGCACTGCAATCTTTGGTTATATCTTGGGCTACTCAAATATTTTATGTTTTTGATACTAAATTAACTTCTGGAATATTACTTTTTATTGTTTTTATATTTTTCAATATATTTATTTTGTTTGTACAAAATAAAAAAAATAATTTTTAACGATACAATAGTCTTCATTAGGCTTAACATCGACGAAAATTCAACGTGAAGCGACACGCAACAGAGAAAAATTTCAACATCGGATACGTTAAACTATTTTTTTGTACATAATCGGTTATCCGAAATATCAGTTATCTGAACAACCCCAGTCCCCAATTGATTCGGATAATCGACGCTCTACTGTATTTATAATTGAAGACAAAGTCAAATCACAATGATATTTGAATAAATTTGAAAGAAAAAGTCTATAAAAATAGCATAAAAAATGATTTTGTGTAAATAGCATTTTAATTGGAGAAAATATTATATATTTTTTTTATCTGTTCTATATAATGTCTAAAATATATATGAGGGTCATCCCAGAAGTACCCAATCTGATATATAAATGGCAGTAGTTGTTTGAAAAAATTACTGTGGTCGAAAGTATCAACCTTATAAAGCTTAAGTTTGAAGTTTGAAGACACTAAGTTGTTTAGTATTTGTTTGACAGCCATCAATAGTGAATGATCTCATTGAATTTTTAAACATGGAAAAAATTGGTCATTGTTATGTGATACAGTACTTTCAATTGAAAGGTTTCAGTCCAACCAATATTAAAGCTGAGCTAGATTTTACTTTGGGTGAGTCTTCTCCCTCGTTTACAACAATAAAATATTGGGTGGCAGAGTTTAAACAAGGCCATTTGAGCTGCCAAGCTGAACATCACAGTGGTTGACCAAGTGAGATGATCACTCCAGAAATGGTGAAGAAATGGTGAAAAAATCCACAAAATGGTATTGGATGACCGTTTACTCAAAGTGCAAGAGCTAGCAGACATAGTAGGCATTTTAAAAAGTGCTGTACATTGCATTTTGACTGAAAATTTGGACATGAGAAAGCTGTGCACAACATGGGTGCCGCGTTTGCTCACAATGGAACAAAAACAGCATCGTGAGGATGTTTCAATCGAGTGTTTGGCGATGTTTCGCAACAACAAAGCCAAGTTTTTTGTCAATTCATAACTATGGATGAAACATGGGTCCATCACTTCACACCTGAGATGAAAGAACAGTTGAAACAATGGACTGAAAGGGGAGAATCAGCTCCAAAGAAGGCGAAGACAGTTCCATCTGCTGGCAAGGTCATGGCATCAGTTTTTTGGGATGCATATGGGATAATTTTCATTGATTATCTTCAAAAAGAAAAAACAATCTATGGCAAGTATTTTGCAAACTTATTGCAGTGCTTGAGTGATGAAATCAAGAAAAAACAGCCACATTTGGCAAAAAAGAAAGTGTTGTTTCATCAAGACAACACACCATCTGTTATTGCGATGGCCAAAATCAATGAGTTAAGATTCGAATTGCTTCCTCACACATCCTATTCACCAGATTTAGCCCCCTCGGATTGTTTTCTCTTTCTAAACTTGAAAAAATGGCTTGGTGGTAAAAGATTTGCTAACAATGACAAGGTGGGGTCTGCGGTTGATGGCTATTTTGAGAAGCTCGACAGTTCTCACTATAAACAGGGTATCAAAGCTATTGAACATCACTGGGAAAAATGTATTGAGCTAAAAGGAGACTATGTTGAAAAATAAAGATATGTTTTCCCAAATTTTTTGTGTCTTCTTTATTAGGTTGGGTACTTCTGGGACTAACCTTGTATATATATATATATATATATATACGAGGTACCTTTCAAACTATAAATACATTTTAAAATTTATTGTAGATATTCCTAGAGCTTTCAAATAACTTAAGTATTAATAAGTTTAAATGAAGATGTAATTTTTACAACACTTGCATTTGATGGTCAAATTATTTGTTGTGTTGTGTATATATTTCGGACCTATTGGTCCCTCATCAGCTAGTTTACAGCCAACGATTTTTAAAACAAAATATTAAAAATTACTACAATTTATAAATTTCTGACAATAAAACAAAATAATCAAGATACTGTAAATTACTTTATTTTGTTTTATTGTCGGAAATTTATAAATTGTAGTAATTTTTAATATTTTGTTTTAAAAATTGTTGTCCGAAACACAATTATATCGTGTAAATGTGTACAGGTGACAAATAAAGACTATTTTTTCTGATTACTTCGCTTAAATTTGCAGAATAAGTCACTGATATAATAAGTCCTGTTAATAAAATAAGTCCTAGTAGACATCTTATCAATACATAATAAACATGTATTACATGTTTCCTTTTTCATTGCCTTTAATTGACTAACCCAGCATAATTCCAGGAATGTTTTGAAGCTATCTTGTAGTACTTTGATACTCATAAATTTCTTATCATGTATAAAATTATGAGCATAAAAGTACTATATATAAAATTTTGGGGTATTTTGCAGATTTTTTTTTCCTATTTTGATTTCAATAACAACAAAATTATTTGTGAAAATTAACTGTTGTCTGTATAACCTATCAGCTTCTTAAATTCAGTGTTGTGGAGCAGCATTGCTGCTTTTGTACAAGAGCACTGCAAAAGTAATTCATTTTTGTGATGTAATGCCTTGTTTGGGAGATAAAATTAATGATTTAATTTTAGTGTATGCAGCTTCTAAAGTAGATGTTAAAACATTGTAATCTCTTTGTAGACTTCATATTGTAACAAGGAATACAAAAACCTTATAAACTGCAGCCAAATTTATTATCAATTTCAAACATTTTCGGTCATCTTTAATGACCTTTATCGAGAATGAATGAAAATCGAATGCTGACTGATTTGTATTAACGATAAATGCATCTTGGAACGCTTTTTAAAAAAACTTTTAGTGTGTAATCTCGTGCCTTTGGGTTACCATTGTAAGTGGGCATAAATAAAATAAGATAAAATAATAAAAACTGATAAGATACATTAATAAATACATAGATGAAAATAAAATAAAATAAAAATAAAACACGAGCATAAAAGTAAAGCAAAAACATTAATGCATATGTAGCTAGAATGCATACTTAATATGCATGTTTTTCTAAATGTCTTCTCACTATTTACAAAACATTTTAAATGTACAAGTTTTGTCAAATCTGATTTTATTTTACTAATGAGTATTTTCAAAGAAAAATAAATACAAACAGAATATCAATTCATGGTGATCAAAACCTTATAACTTTACTGTCTTATCATATAAGAAGTCAACTTTGCATGTACTGTACACTGTGGATGCAGACATTGTTGTTGCAGCAAAAATGCAACTGAAATGAGCACTGTTGATATAACCTCAAACCAGTGAGATCATAGAGAGGATTGCTGCATGCAGTGCTTAGTTTAAAACACCCTGTATGTTTTTAGTAAAAAAAAAATAAAACAAATAAAACTTTCATACTTTAATAAGAGATTTCATACTTTCTCTTTTTAGCTGTCAGGTAAAGGAATCCTATTTATAAATACAATTTTATTGCTTAACCTTTGGATAAAGTTAGGGACTGCCTGTATATGAATTCTATTTTAAATTTACTTTTCTTTCTTTCATTCTCTCTCAGTTCATCAAATACTAAAATATCTTAATATTTTATGAATACAGCATTAAAATTAATATTAGAGATGGGCAAATACTAGAAAGTATTTGAGATTCAAGATCTCAAATACAGTAGAGCCTCGAAAACTCGGCACTCGATAACCCGGCACTCCGGATAACTCGCCCACACCCTGGCAGGGCAAAAAAATCCTTAGTTAATTAATTTTCATTATAGACAGCTTTATAAAAATATAAAAGCTCTCATAAAGTATTTTTCTGAGGTCTGTCTTATCAGGTAAATTACTGAACGCAATGTGTTCATTAATTTTCATTTTCATGTAGTAACGGCTCTATGTCTTAGTAAAGGACGTACTTTTCCTTTGTTTAAGGGTATTTGGGCAGTTTATTCTCTGTTGTATTCTCAAGTAAACAATACATACAAGTACAGTATAGTATTTTCTGAGGAAACACTCATACTTATTTTTTTAACCCCATTCCCGATAACCTGGCATTTTCACAAACTCGGCCACCCTTCGGTCCACATTAGGCCGAGTTTTCGAGGCTCTACTGTATTATGTTTATAAAACCTCCAATATTGTGCCATATGTACAGTTACAGTGGCAGATTCAGAAGCACCAAAGGGGAACTAACTCAAAAATTTTAAATATTTGAATAATTAATAAATATCTTTTATTAACATGTGCATGACAAACATATTGCAGGTGGTCTGATAAACCTTTCCTGGATTCAGTAAACTAATTGAACTTGCCAAATAATTGCAGAATTTAACTTATTCTAAATTTAAATTGTTTTTCATGAATATAATATTATAAAAATTAGTAATTATCTATATTTAATTAATGTGTGTTATTGTATTTGTTTGTGTTGCGACTTTCTTTTTTTGAACTTATTCTTGTGACTTTTCCTAGATTCAATAAACCATATTTGCCATCATAATTGTTTTGAAAACAATGTTTTGAAGTTTGAACAAATAAATTTTAATTTTGTTTGTGTCACTGTTATATCCTTGTAATTGACAGTATGTATGGACAGCAGCTTTGGTTTAATTTGTGACAAGAAACAAAGTAGGCTTGATCCCAAATATTTTCAAATTCTTGTTTCTTAAGTAAAAATCTGCAGTAGGTGAGAACGAGAACATTATTCTTAATCTATTATAGTTAAGATAAGAGTACTAAAAAGACAACTTTGAGTCTTAAAGTCAAAATTAAAAGTTTGAAGTTTCATTTCTTAAAATTTGATAAATTTTTTCTTTCAACTTTTTGTTTTACTTTATTAATTTATTAATATATTGAAATAAACAAAACAAGCTAAATGATAAATATTAAATAAATAATTAATCAAATAAATTATATAAGGTAAATTCACTAAGTATTTGGAATATATATAAATAATAACAACTCAAAGCCCAAGTGGTATACAATACATAACCAAACGATCGCCTAAATATCTTCGGGCCAGTTCTTTTATTCCAGAAGGTTCTAAATTTATTTAATAATTTATTTATTTAATTATAATTATTAATTTACTTAAGAGATGGCGCCTAGCGTCTACCTCTAATGTCATATTACTTTATACCAATCATTTAATTAGCCATATTATAGTCCAATATTTAGGCGATCGTTTGGTGATGTATTGTATATATAAATATACATTCTTCTTCCAGAAATTCTAAATTAAAAAATTAATTTATTATAATTATTAAAATTAACACAAGATCCTGGCATAACTGCCTACCTCTAGACAAATTAGTTTCTAATCACTAACTTGGCTATATAATAGCCCAATAATTTGGCAATTGTTTGGTTTCTATTTAGAGTAATTGAAATCTGATTAATATTCAAATTTGAGAAAAGTGATATTCACCCATCTCCTAATTAATATTTATTTCTTAAATACTGTAATAAAAGAATCCTAATAATATAACTAAATTTCATAAAGAAACAATAACATAAGTTTAAATTTATATATCAAAATATGTAACATTGTATGTGATGAATAGTTGCATAATTTTATTTTGAAATTAATATCTAAGCTATAAAAAATGAGTGTAGATAGTCCATATACTTTTTTAATATATATGTCCTTTGGTTTATATATATGTATTACAGCTGGAGAAAGATGGAGGGGAATGTCTGAAGAAGATAAACGGCCATATGTTGAAAAACAAAATGAGGAGAGAGTTCGCTATGAACAGTCTATGGAAGAGTATAGAAGAAAAGTAAGTTTTTGTGATAACTAATTATGCAATAAACAAAGATATTTCTTTAAAAAACCTCAAAAACTAGAAGAGGATATAAATACTCACAGACCCCCTTTGTACTGAATCCAGCAGATAGCTGTATAGTAAAAAACAAAAGTTTTTGATCACTTTCAGAGATATTCATCAAGTTATTATGTTTTCATAAATTGAACGCTCTTATTTAAATATCTTTTTTAAAACAGAACAGTTGTCTGTGAGTATTTATAAAGCTTTTTTTAAGTAGTCAAAAAAATAAATAAATATTTTATATTATTGGGTTGTTCGGAAAGTAATTTCGTTTTTTCCATGGAAAAAATCACAATATTTTTATAATAAATAAATATTTTATTGAATTATATATCGACCATTTTGGTCAAATACCTGTTGTCATCATTTCTGGTAGTAGCATGATTTCACATTCATAAAAGTTTTGATCATTGCTTACAAAAAACTGATCCAAGTGATTTTTGACATTGTCATTTCAAGTAAATGTCTTAC